AGAGATGTAGGATGCGTTCTGGTTGCATCTGTGAATAAACGTTTAGGAAACGGCTTCCGGTGTTTTGGCCAATCTTAAAACCAGTAAGTAGTAATCCTTTATAGTAGTCCTTCAAAGTAGTCCTTGTAGGGTCACTGTGTGTTTTCTAATCTACAACACCAGTGGGCCAAAATGACAGTTTCATATCTTCATAGAGATGTGGAAAGTGTTCAGGATGCATTCTGTTGCATCGGTGAATAAACATTGAACATACATTTAGGGAACTGCTTCCGGTGTTTTAATCCAAAGTCCTTTATTCATGTAGGGTGTGTTCTAATCTATGGCACCATTGACCAAAAAACATTATCATTGAAAACGAGTCTCTACTGGAGATATGAAAAGTCTATCTACATCTGCAAGGGTGCATTCCGACACCCATGAAATACGTTTAGGAAGATCCTTCAGGAGTTTGACAAAGAGAAAGTTCTATTCTAATGGAGCAGGTTCACAAGCAGCAAGAGACTAATATTTAGAAACCCTCTGGAAAACTTCTAGACAATATATGACAATATTGCTCTTCATCTGTTAAGAAACATCTGGTGAATTGTCGTTTGGTCTACAACCAGTTCGTCTACTACCCAATTGGTTTATTCCCATATGGTCTACACCCAGTCTGGTCTACATGGTCTACTTTAATAATCATTTCGTTTCTTATCATTTGGTCCAATGACCATTTAGGCTAATAGCCATTTGGTCTAATTTCAATTTGGTCTAATATCCAATAGGTCTACTGATCATTTGGTTTAATTTCCAGTCGGTCTAATTCCCAGTTTGCCAAATATCTATATGGTCTAATAATCATTTGAAATTATTGATAGTCTTTTTCAAATATTAAAACAAACTTTATTCTAATAAAAATAAAATATTAAAAAATAGCCTGAAATTGCTCAAGAAAAATTAGGCAGGAGTAGCGAGCAATTTACTTCTGGAAAAAACAGAAACCTATGAATACAAGTTAAAACTTGGGTTACTAAAGGAGACAAAATGAAATACAAAATTCTGAAGAAATATTGCTTTTATATCAGCAAGTCTATAAAAAAAGTTCCCTTGAACAAACAATTTTAATTTTTACGGGGCTGGAATAAGGCTAGAGCTTTTGAGGCAATACGAGGGATTCTACTGAGACAGAGGAGCTGGGGAGGTATCATGTAACCTCATGAATATTCATTATTCAAATGAGTCGTCACCCACTCCAACCCCACAATCTCCATTACAGCTCTCGTGACCAAACCGATCAGACGAACTTAGATGACGATTTCATCAGGAAACAAACACATTTTCATGTTGTTCTTTCTTTGCTTACTAACCGCCCAGAAAAAATCAGATGAATTCATCAAGAAACAAAAACATTTTCATGTTGTTTCTTTCTTTGCTTTCTAACAGCCCAGAAAAACTTCGACGATTTCATCAAGAAACAAACAAACACATTTTCATGTTGTTTCTTTCTTTAACTTACTAACTGCCCAGAAAAACGCATATGATTCCTCCGAGAAACAAACACATTTTTATCTTCTGTCTTTCTCTATACAAAAGAAGAGGAAAACTCATATGCCTACAAGCCATTTCTGCATTCCTACAGAAAAAAAGCTTAATTTTCAGACTGATAGTGACAAAGGAAAGAATATGTGTAGATGTGCCTGGCAAAATAAGCCATGGTCGTTTTCATAAACGCATTGTCTTCACTGTCTATCATATTTCATATTTTTCATATAGGTTTTTAAGCCGGAAGAGAGAGAGAATTCCTACTCTTTTACACAGAGATAATGCTACACTGTATGTGCAGTGACACGAAGCCTGAAAAATCTATTCATCCCTTACCTAATGAAACAGTTTGATGTTCTCTAATTTTCTGTTATCATTTGCCAATGATATCTGTATCTTCACAAGGCACTTGCCAATAGAAGTTTTAAAACAAATATACAAGTAATCAAACCTCTACCTTTTTTATTGGTCAGAAAACATTATTTTTTAAAGGTGGTTGTGGACCATACAAAGTCAGAACACATTCATTTCAACTCACTTTAAAGGGATCGTTTAACAATGTTAATCTGAGATACACGGCGCTACGTGTTATCAGTGTCTGTGATATGGTGCAATATTGAAGCCCTAAAACAGTGCGCTTCAAAATGATCAAGAAGTGCCTCAAAATAGAAAAAAACTTTGAGAAACCGGTTTTACCATACTCGTTTTCCCCAATAGACTGTAGTGTTATGAAAACCGTTTGGCAAACGGTTTTCAAAATTTGTAATTCCAATCATAAATATCTTGATAATCAGACAGGGGATCGGCTTGTAAAAGTCATGGGGTTCCTGACTGACTTAAAGGTTTATAATTATAATTGCAGCAAGAGCTATATCCAGAATTTTGTTTCAGAATCTGAGACAAAGTTACCGGATCCCTTTAATAGAAACAGGGCCTTTCAATAAATCTATTAAAGTATAGTTGCCCGGTGTAAGAAAGAAAACTACCACCTAAAATAAAGCCAACTAAAATTAAACTTATTTACTGTTCTGTATTTCTCAGAAATCTGGAAAATGGCGGTTTTGGACCATGAGACGCCAACACACGAAGACTTCAAGTCGATTAAGGAGAGACCAGTCGAGCATTGTCAATTTGCTTTGCACTTCACAGAGGTCGCTTGAGTTCAAGCGAACTGGTGCCTTTCTTTATCAAAGGTCGAGACAAAATATTTCTCCTCACGATTAGGTATTGTGGGCAAAAGAAGTTTCAAATTGGTCATCATCATTCGCAGATCCATGGGCCTACGAGTCTCTCTAGTACATGTACATATACAGTTAACACCTAAATTGTTCATACCCTTTGTAAATTTAATGTTTTGTTTTTTCGTTTTTTTTTCTTAACTCAAGAATAAAAGGTGGACTAGTTGAATTAGGGACTTTGTTGAATACTTTTAGATGTAAGCTATGATATGTCACATTTTCAGGAAACATTTTTAGGTACAAATCAATTTTATTCAACAAAGGCCTTAAAGAGAAGGTTGAGTTCTGAGAAGAGTCGAAAAATAATTTGTGAGCATTACTCATTCTTATTATGCAAGTGTGGAAGAACATCAGATAAGACATGTTCCTTGAAAAGCATGGCTCTTCAAATGCCTTCATATTCTAAATATGCATGTAATATCGTTAAAAAAATCGGGGGGGGGGCGGCTTTTTACGCCACGTGTTCGTGTAGTCCCATATACATCTTTCTCTGTACAGTGTTTGTATCTTTACCAAGACTTGGCCAAATTTCTTATCATTTTGATGATTCCAGAACCTTGCAATACACACAAATTCTTATATGCTAGATGATCAACAATTTCTGGTCGGTTCCACACCGTTTCTTTCACAATGCAATCGCATGACCAGAACTCAACTTCATCTTTAATTCAACCAGTCCACCTTTCATTCCTGAGTTACCAACATCATCAAATTTACAAGGGGTATGAATCATTCAGTTGTTAACGTGTCAGATGAAGTGTTCTTCATATTATTTGTGTTGCCTCAAATTTTACTAGGGTTACTGCCATTTGACCAAAACAATAACAAACTTCTCTAAAATGGTTGACTACAGTTTCTAACCATCACAGTGAAACACTGTGTCCAAGAAGATGAACTTATTACATTAATAATGAAATCATGATAATAATGATAATAATAATTTGGATTTATATAGTGCTTAATACGGTATCTCGTTTCGAAGTGCTTTACAAATATTATTAATCAAATTAATAGAAATGTATACATGTACATGTCAAGTGCATTGGCAACATCATAAAGAAGAATATGAAACAAACTCTGGCGGTTTTAAATCCCCAGCAGTGACTCCAACTCTGTGAATGTAGCACACTGTGGCCTCTAACTCTAACTAACGCAAATAAACATGACTGGGACCAAAGTTTAATTCTAATGTACAATGTACACACCAGAGAGAACCTTTATGTACACATCCTTTCAAGTGGTTTGGACAATGAAATCAAAGTACAAATGATTTTTACATTATTGGCGGATACAAAATTCCTCACTGCAACATATATACATACATTCTATTTTTTGTTTAACTTTCCTTGTCCCCCCCCCCCCCCCATCTCTCTCTCTCTCTCTCTAACTTTCTTTTCATAAAGAATTACATGTACAGTACATGTACATAAATTCATTGATTGCTTTATAGCAAGTAGCACCCAAAGATGTCCATTAACTTGCCCCCCCCCCCCATCTCTCTACCCCTCTCTCTCTCTCTCTCTCTCTGTCTCTCTCACTGACTTTATTTCCTTTCATGGAGAATTCCACACATGCATTTATAAGCAATTAGTGCCCCCCCCCCCCCCCCCGAAAGTCAAGTTCAGATTCAAAAGTGACCTTAAAATGTATTACAAAGAAACATGGAACAAAATTGTTTATCCAGACATGAACTTAAAAACTTAAAACTGAACATTGGACCCAAATGTTACATTGGCTTACACAAACACAAACAAATCAAAACTAAAGTAAATACATAATAGCCAAAGAGATGGTCTTTGCACATAGTTTTGAATGAAGTACATGCAATTACATTGTAAATGTGCTGACGCTGCTCATGAAATAGTGTGCGTTACTGAATGTTCTTAATGTAACCAAATAATAAACCGGAAAAGAAATATTAATTGTAGAGAAGCAGACTTTTAGTTTCATGAAAGAATATTTCATATTATACTGATTGGCTTAATGATTGCTCTCTACTTATTTTCTCTCTTACAAAAACTTCCACTTTTTCAAACTCCTTCACTTCTTTTCTTGCTCTTTATATTCCATTCCTCTTCCTCTCTCTTCCCAATTTTTGTTCCTATCCTAATTTCCGCAGGAAAATACACAATCAAACAATAAACTCAACTGTTTTAACAACAAGGTAAACTGGGTGGGGGGCTTCTAAATATCACAGAGTGTGTAAAAAATTACAAAACTTTGTTGAAAATCAATACTTACTGTCATGATTACTATCCTATCCACATCGTTCCAATCAGAGAAAAGCATTATTTAGTCCCACCATGTACCTTTTCGTGTTAGAGGCTTTGAAAGCGGGAGAGACGTCAGGCCGTTCAAGCCTGCTCTAAACTGGGAAATGTCCGTGCATCATCATCGTGAGACCTGAAGAAAAATTCAAAGAATAAAAAAAACAATAAGAAATAATGTTTACTAAAAAATAAAAAAATAAAAATTTATGGATGTTTCTTTCCTGTGGGTCTATGGTTATTCTGTTAACCTGTTATTAATGAATAAACTACAAAACCTGTAATCCAGTCTGCATACATTAGCTGTTGCTATGAAGGGAAAGGCTCAGACAAGCTTTCAGGTTGTCAACAATGATGAGTAATTAGAAACACTGGATTGCGTTTGATTGTGTGTAAATTGGGTTTCTACAGACGTGTATCCATCAGAAATTATTATCTAACGTTATTATCTAACATCATTTTCCAACAGACGTAACTCAGATTCGAACTAAAGTCCACTTGAACAAGTTTGTAGGCGAAGACACAGAGCTGGCCAAATGAACGTACCGCTAGACCAACTCACATCTTCATTAAAAACAATATGGGATTAAGAACAACAGTAAAGAACATTTAAAGAATAGTCATAAGTATACCATGAAATAAGCAGAATAGGTCACTACCGGTATGGACAATGGCTCATATCTACAGGTATAAACATGACCAAGATAAAATGGTAGAAATGTGTAAATTAGTTGATATAGAGTATCGAGTGACCAGCGCTATATCTTGATTGGATGTGATTGAGTGCTTATCAAAAGATTTCATTCTTGTGTAAAAAAGGAAGTTGTGAGGAAGTATTAGTTGACCTCCCGAGGTCAAACGCTACATCTTCTCACATTCCCTGTTCAGTCGTTTCCGCTAACCGCTAACATTCAAGGTAAAATCACCGTCTATTTAAAAAGAAATCTTTTTATTTCCGCTATTAAACACAATAATTGGAGTTGTAATGGTTGGCCGCTTTAATGAGACACTGGATTAAAAACCAATTGGAACGAAGAACGAAAGTCAAGTACAAATGTACATAAATATATTGTGCATTTTAAAACAGAAAATTGATTTTTAAGAAAGAATATGAGTTTTCTAAAACAAATCTTCTGTTCAGAACCAAAAGGCTAGTTACTCTGTAAAATTTACACAGTTATGGCTCTAAAATGTAGCCATAAATTCTCATTGGTTGTACGTACGTTTGTTTCTGCTAACACAACGATTCAAGGTAAAATCATTGTCCATTTTAGACAGAAATTGAGTTCTGAGATATGAAGATACAAAATTTCAGTTTATCTGCCTCTTTCCTCTCTCTCCCACCCCACCCCATTCATCCCCTTTCCTCTCTCTCTCTCTCTATCCCTCTCTCATCCCCTCTCTATTTGAACAGATACATGTAACATAATTAAGCTGCATTCTCAATTCAAACTGTCTTTATTCAGTAAAACCAAGGAGTTACTCCTTGGTCAAACGCATAGTCTTACCATCTTCTTACCCCCCCCCCCCCCCCCTTTCTCTCTCTCTCTCTCTCTCCCTCCCTCCCCCCCCCCCCCCCTCACCTCCCTCACTTTCTCTCTCTCTCTCTCCCCTCAACCTTCCTCAGTCCCTCTCTTTTTGTTCTCTGTTTCTATTTCTCTCTCTCTCACCATCTCAGCATCTTCTTGCATTACTCTCACGAATCTTCAGCCCACATTCTGCAACTTGCAAGACTCTCTCATATCCAGCTTTTTCCCTCATTTTTTCACCGTCACTCCGTGTCATATATTCACATGCCCAAGGGGGGCTCACTGCTCATGAATTATTCATCAGGTGGCCAGGGGAATCAATCCCTTCCTCATGAATTATTCATGCCTGCCTGCATATTGGATAAGGTCAATCCAGCAAGGTGCACGGAGCGTAATACTTCATGAAGCCATGCCGAGAATTGATTTCTACATTTGCCAGCTCTCTCTCCTATAAAAAATAATCAAATTATAATAAAATATCATCTAAGCTCTTCAGCTACTATACACTGTATCAACACTGCGTAGATTCTGTGCTTTGAACAATTTGTGATACGATCAGGGGAAATGCACTAACACAATATCTTCGTTAAATTCATTCCATTTCAGTTTTGCAATGATTTCTACATTTGCCAGCTCTCTCTCTCTTCTATAAAAAATAATAAAATCATAATAAAATATCATCATGTACAGTAAGCTCTTCAGCTATTATACACTGTATCAGCACTGCGTAGATTCAGCACTTTGAACAATATGCTCAGGAGAAGTGCACAACCATAATCTCTTTTGTTAAATTCATTCCATTTCAGTTTTGCAATGATTTCTACATTTGTCAGCTCTCTCTGCTATAAAAAAATATTAAAATTATAATAAAATAGTATCATGTACAGTAAGCTCTTCAGCTATTATACACTGTATCAGCACTGCATAGATTCTGCGCTTCGAGCAATTTGCTCAGGAGAAGTGCAAAAACATAATCTCTTTTGTTAAATTCATTCCATTTCAGTTTTGCAATGATTTCTACATTTGCCAGCTCTCTCTCTTCTATAAAAAATAATAAAATTATAATAAAATATCATCATGTACAGTAAGCTCTTCAGCTATTATACACTGTATCAGCACTGCATAGATTCTGTGCTTTGAACAATTTGTGATCTGCCCAGGGCAAGTGCACAAACACAATATCTTTGTTAAATTCTTTATATTTCAGTTTTGTAATGAAAGGACTAAGAACTGTATTCTTGGAATTTCTCGGTGATTAAAGTATCAATTATCTTGAACAAAGACATACCATAATATGCACTGTCAATAATGAATAGATAAAATATTTTAAAGTGTGTTCAGTAGTACACTGGGGTCTATATGTATTTAAAGAATGCACTGGGTATTCGCGGTCTGATCATTCTTGTGAAGTTCTGCTATGCACACAGCAACTGTAATACAGGCTTTAGATAACATTGAATCACCATCTTCATCTCATCTTCATTTCTCGTCATTTTTTCACTTCATTCTCTCTCTCTCTCTGATACTTTAACTCTTATTATCTCTTTCTCTCTCTAATTTATTTCTCCTGTCTGTTTCATTGTTTATCTCTCTCTCTTTCCTTGTTTCATTATTTCTTCTGTCTCACAGTGCTCTCTCTCTCTCTCTCTCTCTCTCTCTCTCTCTCTCGTCTATTTGAATGTTTACTCTACCTCCCCCCCCCCCCCCTCTTCCTTCCCTCTCTCTCTCTCTCTCTTTCTCCCATTTCATTTTCACTTTCTCTTGTCTCACAGTACTCTCTCTCTCTCTCTCTCTCTATCCTTTCTCTCTCTTCCATCCTTTGTCTCTCTCCTCCCGATTCTGTATCTCCCAAAGCTTCTCCATTTCACTCTCTCCCCATCCTCTCCCTCTCTATCTCTCTCTCCTCTAACCCCCAACCGTCTCCATCTCCACTCCACCACCATCTCGGCCCGTCTTCAACTCTCAGCTCCTGGCCCGGGAAAGATAGATATAACAGTATGTACACACTAATCGGGCATGCACCGCATACAAAATATGCGCGACTAGCTGCCTGCCTCACCATCACGCATACACTCGGCTGTGACCGCGGGACACCGTGCAAGGCACCCACGGACTAATGCAGGCATCTGTATGGGAATGTGTTTAGGCTCACACGTGTGTGAGGGGAGAGGGGAGAGATTGAGAGGAAAAAATGAGGTGTGTTGATATGCCGTCGTCCTCGTCGTGAATAAGCAGGGAAGATGACAGTGACAGTTGAGGCTTCCCAAGCGATCGTTGTATGTATGCGTTGATCAATGTTTGGGGGGGGAGGGTTGGGAGAAAGAGAGGGGGTTGGGAGAAAGAGAGGGGGTTGGGAGAAAGAGAGGGAGATGGGGAGGGAGAGAGGAAGATTGATGTGGGGTTTTTGAGGGAGAGGAAGGAAGGGAGGGAGGAACGAAGAGAGCTTGTGGTTGATGTATTCTGTGTGTTGATCAATGTTTAGGGTTTTGAGAGAGAGAGAGAGAGGGGGAGAGGAAGATTGGTGGTTAATGTATTGTAAGAGTTTATTGATGTGAGGGGTTTTGAGAGTGAGAGGGAGAGGAAGAGAGGAAGGAAGAGTGGGAGGAAGAGAGGAAGGAAGAGTGGGAGGAAGGAAGGAAGGGTGCTTGTGGTTGAGGTATTGATCAATGTTAGGCTTTGGAGAGAGAGAGACAGAGAGAGACAGAGAGAGACAGACACAGACACACAGACAAAGAGGGGGAGGAGGGAGGGAGGGAGATTGGTGGTTAATTAATGTAAGAATTTATCAATGTTTTGAGGAAGAGAAAGAGAGGGAGGGAGGGAGGAAGGAAGGAAGGAAGGAAGGGTGCTTGTGGTTGAGGTATTGTCTTGACAATGTTGGGTGTTTGAGAAAGAGAGAGATGAGCTATTGTAAGCGTCTATCAATGTTGGGGTTAAGAGAGAGAGTCAGAGATTGGTGTTAGAGGTATTGGAGCAAGACAGGGATGTTTAGTTGATTGATGAGATGATGGATAGGTTTCTGACGATGAGGGTGGTGGTGGTGGTAGTCGTGGAGGCGGCGGGATGATGAGATGGAAGAGCAAGTGACAATTGTAGCATTGATGGTGGTGATGTTGGAAATTAATGTTAATGGCGATGGTTAAGAAGGAGAAGATGACAATGAGGATGAGGATGAAGACGAGGATGAAGATGAGGATGATTAAGATGAAGATGATGAGAAAGATGATGAGAAAGGTGATGATAAGAATGATGGTGAGGAGGATGAGGATGATGGTGACGATGATGATGATGGTGATGATGAGGAGGACGATGGTGAGGTTGATGGTGACGATAATGATGATGATGATGACAATGAGGATGATGATCTCGATGAAGAGGATGATGATGATGAGGATGATGATGATTAGGATAAAGAAGGTGACGATGATGAGGGTGATGATAATGAGGGTGATGATGATGAGGATGATAAAAATGAAAATGAAAATGATGAGGAATTTTAATGAATGCTAGGATGATAATGATGACAGTAATGGTACTGTAGTAGAGGAAATTACTGTGATAGCTGCGATACAGACGAGGATGATCATGATCACGATGACAGTAATACATGTAATAGTG